TGTTGCTCCGTCTACGAGGACCCGTGCGCAACTTTACCCGACGATGTCAGGTTGACCACTGGCGGGGAGGGTACCAGCGAGGGCGGCAGCGAAAGTTCCTCCATAGCGGGTAGCGTTTCCGCCCGTGCAAACCGAACCAACGTTAAGAGAACTATACCCGCCTCTACCACCGGCAAGAAGAAGGCAACCACGACAGAGACACAGAAGAGCACGAGGGTAAAGCCAACACCGTTGGTTTCGGCCGCTACTCCACGCTCCAAGCCGCGTACCACGACCCCGAGGAATATCCTGGGCAAAGCACAGCCGGTGACAAGGGCACGGTCGAGGGAAAAGTCGGGAATCAGAGAAGGGAATAATGATAACAGCACGGCAAGTAACAGTCGAGTTTCAACGGCATTCCGTTCAGGTGCGACCCCGATGCTGCCGCGAACGAGGACAAGACCTATTCCTGATTCACTGCCATCTATGCTCACCACAGAGATCAACAAGGATCTGGCACAGCGTGGCCGAGGTCAGAGCGGCAGCTCGAGATCCAGAGGTGGGTCCAGCACGCGTGGTGCGGCGCGCACCACTCCCAGCTCGACACCGTCCGAAGAGGTTAGAAAACCTCTGTCCACGACCAGGGTGTCGTACACGGGGTGTCGTACGGAGACTGCGAAACCATCCTCCAGATCGGATAAGATGAGCACGGATAACAAAGCTCTGGACACGTATGCCACGTTACCTAGAAGGAACAGGAACAAGATGAGCATTGCCAAGGTCGGTGAGAAGGTGGAGAAAACGATTAGAAGCAGATCCGGGAGCAGGGACGCGAGCTTGAATAGACAGGTTGAAAAGAAGGGTAACGGGAAAGAGAATTCGACACACAAAAGTCTGCCACCCTATCCGAGGCACAAGATTGCCGAGAAGACGCGTATTTATCACGAGACAAGCGTGCAAACTGGTCTGACTGGTCGTGACATTGAGAATGCTTTGTCCGGAGTGCCAAGTGCTGTCGCCGGGCCGGAAGTGGTTGAGAGGTTACACGAAGGATGCCAAACGGAGGGCACGTGGGAGGATATGCAAGCGATGCAGAGCGACTTGAAACGGTTAAACGAAGAGGCGATGCAACAAAAAGAGGAGAACGAGAAGCTGAAGGCTGAAATTGTCGAGGTGAACCGTCTTCTTAAAGAGGAACAGGCGGATCACGCGTTCGCGCGGCAAGAATTGGATAGAAATGCACAACGAGTATTGGCGATGCTTGGAACTCCGCAATCGGAGCATGCAGGTGATTTATTGAAACGTTTAATTTGATATCTTTCATTTTCCTTTCATTGTGTCTCAATTTTTTTAAAATTGAAATTTTTGGGTTTAATTTTAGAAGGGAGTGACAGTTTTTTGGAGTTGGAGTGTCATTTGCAATCGTCTGGACAAGTTGTAGCGAATCAACAGTTAGAGATAGCTGATTTACAATCTTTGTGCCGTATGTTGAGTAGGGTAAGTTAGATTATAGTTTTTGCATTGCTCTTTTTAAATTTTGTATTTATGAAATTTCTTAATCCATGGTATATATTATAATCATTTATAATTAAGGATTTGGAGAAAAGTTTGGCTGCTCAGAAAGCGTTGCTACAACAACAGCAAGAATTGGAGGCAGAATCGGCTGAGATGCAAGATTTTCTACAAGAAGAAAAAGCCACTTTAGCGGATGCTTTAAAAGAGGCTGAAACAGAGGTATTTCTTATTTATTGATGAATCGAAAGATGTAATAGTGATAAAAAATTTTTTTCTAATTTTACAGCTTGCAAAAAAAGAAGAACTATTAACGAAACGCGAATTAGAATTAGAAAGACAAACCGAAGAATGTAAGCATTTAGTACGAATTAGCGAACAACGAAGGTGAATATTAAAAAGAAAAAAAAGAAGAAATTAAGCTTGAAAATTTTCTTTAACATTATAACATTTGTATTCATATTGACTTTTTATTCATTCGTAGACAAGAAAATTTATCTATGAGCATGAAATTAAATGCAGTCGAACGACGAAGCAGGGAACTTTTACTCACACAAGGAGCTGCCGTTTCCGGAGCTGCGGTTGCGCTTTCCGGTCTTGGAACTAGGCTGGAAGGATTAGTAGACCAATTGATAACATCGTACAGTATCTCAGTAAAAGATCTTGAAGTAATGCTCCATTATTTTTTCATCATATATTTTTTAATTTATCGTTTAATGATATGACTTAAATATTGTTTTCATTTGTAGGATGTGATATATCACAATGAAGCATATAGCAGAAGCAACAGTAGCGTCGAATCGAGTCCAGTTAGCTCTAAGCATAGCCTGAAAGAGTGTACACCCAGTCCGAAGAGTGGATCTTTCGTTTCCGCAGTGATCGGAGCAATCCGGAATGCGGCGACACATCCTTTTGCAACGAAAAATACTGATAAAAAATCTTCTTTAGAATCTGCTAAACAAATATATAAAGGTATATATATATATATATTACGCTATATTTATCAATGAATAGAGAAAAATTTTATTCCTTTCCTATTATCAATCATTTAGAATTAAGTATGGAATCATCGTCTGATTTGCTCGATTTTGAAACCGAGCCATGCCTGATGATGGAAAGTGTGTTAGAGGATGTTCCCTTACCCGATACGTACTCGCATAATATGGTATCGAGTAGCGATTCGCTTCGCAGAGCTTTAAGCTTTCCGGAAACCGTAGACGAAGGTAATCTCAAAAAGACGCGTACCAGTGAGGAGTGTTCGAGTCTTACGAATCTCACACAAGCAATTTTACATCGTCGTAAGGTACAAGATATTGGAAAATATTGGAAATATTTTTATCAAATAAAAAAAAAAGAAACAATTATCGAAAAGAAACGACATTATAATTTACATAATTTTTTATAGGTTGAAAACGAGGAAGATGATGATTGCGATTCTATCAGCGAATCTGATACCGGTACGAATGATGGTCCATTAGCTTCGGATTATTGTCCGGCTGTTAGTCTTGTTGATCAAGTTATTGATGTAGATAATCTTGTTACGAAATTGCTAAAAGTATTGCGAATAATACAGCTCGATAATGATACATGCATACAGGAGCTGAAAGAAGAGAAGTAATTTTATATCTTCTTGTTATCTACAGCAAATCATTGTTGTAAAGCAATGTACAATACATGTAGTGATTTGCAGGTCTGAGTTAGAAACGAAATTGGAAGTGACTGTAACGGAGTTGGAAGAATTGCGTAAAATCGTGGACAACTTGCATCAATCAGACGAAATTCTAAGCAACAGTTCGGACAGGAGACGTAGCGTGATGGAGAATTGTCGTTTGCTGATCAAAGAGGTAATAGCTGGTGATGTAACCGATACATATCTATGAAATGTTTCTGGTGCCGTTTTAAGACTTGTTTAATCAGCGATTGACTTTTTAAAAAAGATGTCAAATGGAATAATTCCTCTATAGGCGGGTAAGGAGGAATTAAAATTTGACGAGCCCGCAGTTGGTAATAATAGTGGTCCTGGAGGAGCTACAAATTGTGAAGATCTCAACGCGAACATAGCCGCTCAATCATCTTCCTAAACACATTTCCTTTTTATTTTTATTTTTTTTTTTTCTTCTCCTTTTCTTGTTATCATCTTTTATCTTTGACGATGTAAATCATTATTGATTCTATCTGTTTTCATAATCATTCGTTGTTGATGCCAAGATAAGAGCTACGTTGAAAATCGCTCTAATGCGTATCATCTGAAAGAATCGAGTTGAATTGATTGATGCTCGATAGTATGTTCATATTAACTGTTTTTTCGATCGTGTCAAGATGATTAGATGATATCGTAGATCATAAACTGTAGGCATTTTGCGTGTGTCAAAGTCATGTACAGCTTTCTTCGTGCCGTCATATTACGAAAGATATCCATGCGTATTGCTTTAGTATATTTTAACGTTAAAAGACTTATAATCTGTGTACATAACGATAAATTTCTCTTCATAATTTCAAAATTGGATTACATAGTTAATAATTCAGGATTCGATATTTTAACATATAACTTAGGCTTTCATTCAGGCAAAGATCATAATTTAAATATGTCCTTATCAATGAGTCATTATCATTCATTTTAATAGTTAACTATCTCGCATTAAGATTAAACGCGATTAATCACGATAAAAACTATGAAATATATAAAGGAATTCTTTAAGAATAATTAATTGCATTAACAAATGAATTTCCTTTTTCATGCCCACCGAATTCCATTTTATCACATTTATATGTTATTAATAACAAATCTTTTTTTAAAAATATTAATCCATGTATAGAAAGGAATGCGGATAGATTGTAATGTACCTTAAAATTCCGTTTATTGCAGTTTACTTCCTCGTTTGAATATTGGTAAATAAAAGTACGAATAATGTTTAATCTTTAAATGTGAAATAACAACAGGGTACATTAGTTTTATATTACGTATAGCGAGGATTTGCGGTCATTTAATTATATTGATGAATATGAATCATTCAAATGAAATGAAATGTTATATTATTCATAATTGTCTGATTCATCATTTGTCAATATTTAAATATCCTTGCTATCATATAAACATAATTACAAACTTATTCGGGAATATCTTTCGTTAAAACATCTTTAATAAAAAGAAAAAATGAAAATGAGCAAATCGATCGATATTTATCCCAATGAAAAATTATTCCCATGAAATGAAAAATGAACTCAAAAAGAGAACATACATCTTCTATTCCCAGAGCTGCTTTCTATTTTAATGGTGAGATATATTTGAAAAACATATTCTTGTACACGCTTCCATAAGTATCCGTCGACTAAGTTTTCGAAAGCATTGTATATACATAAATGTATGTAAGTGGATATTGTGCAACTTATGATTTTATTCTAATTCAAATTCAAAAGATTTTTTTTATATGGATTCTCCTCCTTTCTTTCCTTTAATACTACAGATTATTTACTGTATATCGCAATCTGTAAAGTTTGTGTGAAAGTGATTTTTTTTTCGTATCTTTTTTTTTTTCTAAATGAAATAAATGATTCCACCCAGATGATATATATTCTGAGAATCATAGTCCTAAGCATTTTTTATACAAAGTATTGTGATTATATACCAAAAAGGAACTCATAAATAATGTATTTTAATTTTTAATCAAATAAATTTCGTTTCGATAAAAATTGTATATTATATATTGTATATTTACTTAAGTATACAATTGTTCGTGAAAGGCTCGAGCGTTAATTTTATTCAAAAGATAGTATAAAGGTTACACAAAAGAAACCTTGAACCATTCTGTAACTCGTGCAATGTCAAATATAGTAAAATATTTTTCCGTGTAAGCTATTTTAATTTTAATTCAACATTTTTTTTAATTCTTTTTTAAATTTGCTAATTTTTACAAACAAGTTACAAGCAAGATTAAAAATAAATATCGTCTTAAAATAAAACTAATAATCATCATTTTTACGAGGAAATGAAAAAATGATGTTGGCAGGGATGAGATAAAGGGACGCTATATGATTAAACAAAAATGATAATGGAGTTTTACGTAAATATTTTGTGTTTCGTATAAAAGTTTGAGTTCTTCATTCATGGCGAATACGACGCAACAGAGGAACCAATAAATTCGCCAAGCGTAAGCCAGCCCTAAAATAAAGATATTAAATTTAATTTGATAAATTTAATAAAAAAAAAAAGTAATAATAGATAAAATAATTATTAATTTTAAAAAACATATGATAACTATATATGACTATTAAAGAAAAAAAAAATAATCCTGTTTACGAAATAAAATTATTATTGATATACCGATTTCAAGTTAAACTTGAAAATACCTTTGTGCTGACTTGGACATTGGTGATAGTTTAAGATTGATTTCCGGTTTACTCGATGATGGTTTCGAAGAATCAATTGCCGGCAAACTAGGTTTATTATTGTCAGCAACACCTGCTAGAAGGAGTGTCTCAACAGGAGCAATGACGAGCATCACGCCATCCACGTGAACACGATAATTTTCAGATCCGTTTTGTCGCTGATCGTAATAATCGATTGTAGAATTGAAGGGAGTCGATGTTGTCGGATTCGATGATTCCACAATCGATGTTTCGTTCGCAATCGGTAAACACTGCGCAACTCTGTTAGAACAGAACGCGGCGAGTAGCAACACCGTTTTGAAGATTCGCATGTTGATCGATAGCATCGATATCTGGTTTGATAATCGCAAATATCGATGATATTATACGCGTTGAGAAACTCCTTTTCGATGCTGAATTTGGTCGAATCGTAGAATAACACGAAATATCAAGTTTAGAAGTGTTTCGTTCCAAATTTGAGGCTGACACCCGACAAACGATCGATCGAGAAACAATCGAGAATACGAAGAGGACTTATGGTTAATTTTTGATGAGAAAAAACGATGCCCGTGGCGTGGTAGCGTGAGCAATGAACGTCTTGACGATGCGGAGGATGAGCGAGGTGTGACGACGTCTCCTGCCGACCGGCGATCCCGGTCCCCACCTGGCATGGAAACAGATCGTCAGGCAAGTTCAAGAACCTGTGGGCCCTTGTGTACGTTCTGTTGCATACATAGTCAGGTAGAACATAATCTTGGATAGAATTGATTTTTTTACTTGAATGACATTGATATCTTATTCTATTTTATTTTATGATTACTTATATATATATTATACATATTGCATATCACTTATTCTTTTCATCTTCATTTTGAATGTTGGATTTTGATCAACATTAAATTAATCAATTAATGTTATATTCTTGTTATACAAAGATCGATAAAAAAAATTAATGGTACATGGTATCAAAGGTAATAACTATTAATATATAATATTATATATAAAACTATATTTATCAAATAGAAAGAATAAATTTAATTTGTAAATAATTGACAATTTATATATTTATAAATTAATAAGCTTATATATATAAATTTATATATTTTATTTCGTGCAATTTTTATAGAATTCGTTATTCTTTTTTAGGTGTTAATCTATTCAATAGAAAATATTAATTTTATTCAAGACAAGAAACTTTGATTGGCGAGAAAAAAAACATAAATCATTAATAGCCGATTCGCTCTCGAACTTATACATACTCTTTCGTGTACGAAATATACTGAATGTATGTGTTTGTTGTGCACATGAGCACATATATATATATACCTATATACACGCGCATATATATAAACATACATACACACACACACAAGACCGATTTGTAAAGGGCAATGGCCTCGTATGGCCCCACCGAGTTCATTTCCCCGTTCCTCTGTCTCAGCCGCTGCTTATTACCGTAACCTTGCCCTTGCTCTTACATTTCCGCCATACTCGAACTTCGCGGATTGTCTTCCTGGTTCACCTTGAATGGCGCCTTCTGATGATATAAGCTTATTGAAATCGTTGACTCAAATTGGCTCAAATTCGAATATGATTAAGATAAGTATACAGATAAATTCGATTTTATCTATTTGGATATTGATAAATTTTTATCATTCGATGTATCGATATTGTACAAGAAAATTTTATTTTGGAAAAAAATTTGATATTGTTGAAAGAAGGAAGGATTGAAAGATAATATATTTTTTGGATTAATATATATAATTTATTTCTTCTTGAACGTGATACAAAAATTTATGAATCTAGTATAAATAATATAAATGTAAAAAATATAAAATATATTTCAGAATAATTCGATTAAAAGATCAAAATCTGCTTTAAAAATTTTAAATATGATTCCTTTTATATATGTATTTTTCTATTTCTTACAATCTTAAACTATTAACTATTAAACTATTAATAATTCATGTATCTAAGTGCACGACCTTTTTTATCTGTGAATACAGTATGCGAATATCACAATTATTGTATACGTAGGTATCCTTGAATAAAATTTATGTACTTCTTTTTATATGGGGTAAATTTCTTTATAATTCTTATCGTTTTGGCAGATACCAAATTTATCTCTATATCTTCCAGGTCCACAATTCTCAATACCACCTCCCAGTAACACTAGCTCCTGGCGCTTATTGTCCAATTCATTCCTCTCTTCAGATATCGAAGGTATATCCTCCTCTTCCTCCTTGGATAATTGTTTTTTTAACGATATCCCTGGTTTAGTTGCTTTTGATGTCTCTTCTTTAACCGGCAAATCATCGGAACGATCGAAATTTTCCACTTGTAAGTTTCTAGCGTTTGCAGATCTTTTATTTTCTTTCATTGAACTATCAATAATTAAATGTAGTTCTGTATCATTTGAAATTTGTTTACTCTTTTTTATTGGCTTTTTACTATCAATAATTATCTCTGAATTAGTTGTCTCTTGCAAGATCGTTTCAGAATTTGTAGTATCTTTTAACAATTCAATTTTTTCGCTACTTTTAGCATCAGGCAATTCAACAGGATGTTTACCTTTATCCCCTTCCTTTTCTATATGAACGATCTCGACATGGTAAGGCTCTCTCCCGCCATCTGCATTTTCTGTCTCATAAACCAACGTTTCAGATGGTTTCTCGCTGATCCGTTGCTTACTGTGCTGCGGAATTAACTCGTTCATCTCCAGCATTTGTGATGCCAGATTCCTGAAGAAAAGACCATTACCGGAAGTAGCAACGACTATCAAAAAATTCTCAAATTTGGCATCCACATTGAAGTCACCATTCTGTCGCTGATCATAAGTCGCTGGAGCCGCATTTACTTGCAAAAATGATCTAGATAGAATGCCTGTAAAATTATAATAACTTATGTAAAAATATGCCTGTAAAAAATAATTTATAATAACTTGTTTAAAGAAATAAGAGAAGCAGTTACATTACATTACAGTTACATTAAAATAAAAATTAAATATTGAAAAGAAATCTATATCTATTTTTTAAGGAAGCCCAAAAATAGTAGTTTTACCTGATAGCAAGATAAGATATGTGACATGCAGTAGCATTTTGTCGGAATTCTCTGGAAACGATCGTTCAAATCGGCCGAGCTGAACGAAGTCTGATCCTCGACTGTGCGAGAGATTCGTCCGCTTCCTTGGCAGCTTTGGATCGCCAGCAACTTGTATATAGATCGAGGGAGTATCACTGTTGGGAGAGGGTAAGAAACGCCTTGTATGTCTGGTAATCGACTTAGATGATTAAGTAGCTGCTGCCATCCACTATGACTCTATGACTCTTTATGACATATATGTATTGCTCGTATGTGGCGTCGTCCACGATTTTATCCTTCATTCAGGTCAAAGAAAAAAATCAAACGGTTCCCACGATAATTTATTGTATCGATTGTATTATGCATATTTCTCAAACACGATATATTTTAAAATTCTTTTAAATAGATAATTTTAGATTAAATTTTTTTTTTATAAATTTCAATGTCATCATGAATTTTTTTAATTTTTTTACTTTAAAAATTATATTTGAAATTTTAATTTGTTTAACTAAGAATAAAAATATTTTTTAAAACATTAAAAAAGGATTAAATATTATTACATTAATTTCTTTTTTTTTTTATGCGTTTTTACTTATTGAAATAAAAAAAATAACAATTTTAATTATTGAAAAAAATCAAATATTTCAAAATACAAAAGAAAATATAATTATAGTATAAAAAATGTTATTCAAGAATAAATCATGTTACATAATTGATCGATATTTTTGTTTTCTCGATCTCAGAACATTAGAGAAAATAGAAAATAGAAAATAGAAGGAGAAAAAATTCCAAGATCGTATCTTTATTTTAATATGTTATCTTCGACTGAAAAATCCATTCTTTTTTTTTAATTCTTTTGATAAAATTTAATGAAATTTTAATATAAATCTTCTTGTCCTTTAAATAATTGAACATACGATCAATAAAATATTCTTTTTAAAAGAACTTTACTAGAACAAAATTTATGGATATTTTATTTGAAATTTAAATAAAATTATTATTATTATTATTAATAAATTAATGATTTAAAATGAATATAAAAATTTTTGATGACAATTTTATAATATTATAATAGTATAAAAAATACATATAATTGCTTATATTATATTATATACAGTAACTTGATGAATATAAATGCAGGATGAAGCAATGTGAACGATACGAGAATACGTAACTTAACATAAGTCGACGAGGAACATGAGAAAACTTAGTACAATCGCACACTGATATCGAATATTCATGACATAGCTTGGTCTGAGTGCATTCGATTATCCTCTTTTTGTACGAAATTCCTTGTATTGCGTGCTGTGTCATCCAAAAATTTTGGTACTAATCTCAATGCCAATCTATAAGAAAAAAAAAGTACTTTCCATCTCAATAAATTCTATTTGCAATTACATGCAATTTATTTGTAATTTCACTAATTAGTTTGGCTACTTATTCTATGAAATAATTATTCTATGATATACATTTTAATGTTTCTTGTCTGTTTATTACTCACGGAATTAATGATAATTTTCGTTTACTAAGACGACGACAACGACCATTTCCATCTGGTGAATATCCTGATCTACAACGTTTCCTAGAAAATATTTTAGATGAATCCTCCATATTATGGGACAATCTCCAATTATTTTGCTCTCTTCGATTTTTTTCTACATCTTCGAATAAATTTTCAATTTTATCATTGACTTTCATCTTCAATATGTTATCCTCACTAGTTGAATTTTTTGATGAAATATTTAAGGTTTTATTTGCTTTTTCAGCATCCACTGAAGACAAAATTTCTGTATTCTCCATATTAGAATTTGTATTTGATTCATTAGTTGGAAATGTTAAATTTTGTGATGTAATGTTGGAATGATTGAGTTGTTCTACAATTTCTGAAGTTGATGATTCGGTAGTAGTTGTAACATTAGGTTTAATCATCGGCTTAATCGTGAAATCGGCATAATCATAAAAATAATCGTATTCCTGTAATTCAGGATTACGTTAATTTACTTAATTACTTAATTTATTTAAACTTTTCTTAATTAATATTCTTTAATTAATATAATATAATATAAATTAATAATATAATAATATTAATGATTTACTTTAATTTCTTGTATTCTTTTAATCTAATAGATAATTTTTTTATAATTAATTTAGATTTATAATTAGAAAATAATAATATTCGCATTTTAAAAATCAAAATATTGTCTAGACATTTTATTTTTTACATCTTTTAATAATAAGTAATATAATTGTTAATGTATATCTCTTACAATCAGAGAAATATATTTATTATATTATCAATAAAGATAAAAATTAACGATAATAATAGTTCTCGTTATCGCGTTATCTAGTGATATCAAGATACATTTTCACATGTCGCGACGAATTTAGTCGTTATTTTACCGTGTAATCGTCAAGCATTTCTGAGTCCAATAATGCCAACACTTGTACATCCTTCAAATGAACCTGCACGTTCAGATCACCGGTTTGTCGTTGATCATAAGTCGTTGTCGGTAAGGACAGACCAGTCACAATATGATAAACGAACACGAAGAGAAAGCCATAACGCGGATACATGATGAAGTGGACTGATTTGCTTCGATAGGCCACAAAGCTATGGAAAAATGTACGAGGATCGTCGACAGAATTCAGACTGACCGAAGTCCGTCTGAAAAGTCGACGTTATACCGATGCTCTACCTTGATATAGTGGTCAGTACATCAAGAAACCGGTATTCTTTGTCGTTGAACGGTCATGAGAGCCTCGAGCACAGTGGCCGGACATTGGCCTCATCGTGTACCGATATACACGGAACGCGGACACGTACGAGAATCGATGTAAAACAATTCTGATTTAAATATTAAAACATTAAACGTTCCTCGAAATTTAACGCGGGAACGATACAGACGGATAAAGAATAGCAAAAAGGTAAAGATCGTCTAATAGCGGATGATATGACTCTTTATATCAATCATGTAACATTGTTTTTGTCAAAATTATTTTCATACGTTGAAAAAAAGCAAAAATATATGAATGATATATTAAGTTAAATTATGAATGTATATTATATATCGCAACATAGTTAAATTGCATTTTATTATAATAATTTATTACTGATAATTATATTGTGCGAATATCTCTGACTTCATTCATTATTATGAAACCGCATGGAATAATCGTGACCGATAAATATAAACTTTCTACAAAACATACAACATGGCAGCATCATTAGAATTATAGTAGAAATAAAAATGGATGATTACGCAATTTCGATGTCATTGATACGTCTTTTTATGTTTTGATTCACGATCGTTTTCTAAACCTTCCGACAACGAATCGACAAATGTCGCGAATATGTTTGCATAGATATCGATATAGAAATCCTGAATGGAATTACGATGACATTAATGAGAGTTTGTTGAAATGTCATGTGTTGTTTTATACGATCAAGGAAGTTCACTGTGTCATTTTCTTAATTCAGTGCTCGATATCGTGTTTGAAAGGAACCCACGCATAATTTTCGCTTACTATAGGAAGAAGTTTGCGTCAGGGTTAAAACATTATTATATACGTTTGAATATTATATTGCATCGCTTATCATGTTTCGATGTGACGTAAACAATGTTTCAATTTTTTAAAAAGCCTGGTAAATAATTTTTTATTCATTTATGATTGTTTGTTGATACTTCATTTACGAAAGAAATACTTAATTGCATCGTAGTTAACCTAAATGCAAAATATTTATGCTCTGTTTTTTAAATTTTGTGTTCTTATACGTGTAATTATTGAAAATTAAAGCAAGTGTATTTTTTTATCATATATTATTTATTAGAGTTAGAAAGCATTTATTGATAATTATAGGACAAAAAGACAGGCCCAGATCTTTACAAACTTCACCCACAAAATCAACAAGCTCTGGGAAATTATTTGGAGATGTATTCAATAGTAATTCATCAATCCAGACACCAACAGATGCTTTATGCAGTCTTGAGGAAGAACAGGAAGATGAAATTTTTAATGGTAAAACGAAAGAAACATGTTCCTTCAACTCTCAGCTTTCTAAGACACTTCCACAGATACTTGCTGACAAAGGTGCTCTAGGTTATTTCATTCAATTTATGGAAACACAAAACTGCATTGCACTTATTAAGTTTTGGTTAGAAGTAGAATGTTTGTGCAGCTCATTTAACGTATTAAAAGCTAAAATGGAAAATATTGAATGTTTAAGTTGTATAAAAAATTCAAATAATATTGCCAATTCGATAGACAACAATAAAAATTTTCAGTGTGATATGACACAGAATAATATAAATAATTTTGAGAGCAAAAATCTACTATTTAATGAACATGTAAATAGTACTGAAATAAATAATACGAAATCAAATTGCAATGATATGCCAAAGACTAGTCAAACAATAAGTAACATACGACAATCAAATCACGATTGTAGAAGGAAAGATATGACCATCAGACAAGATGCATTAAGAATTCATAAAAGATATATTATTAAGGATACTTTGGGTACAAATAAAATTCCTGAAGATTTGAAAAAAAAAATGGAAGAAGTTCTTACCTTAGAAAATATTGAGCCTATGTTGCAGTGCCTATCAGCTGTTCAAAAGATTATATATCAAATATTAGAAACTGAGTGAGTATAAGAATTTAAAAATACTTAGAATATTTATTTTAAAATTATATTTAATGTTTTTTTTAGATACATTAATGACTTCTTACGAAGTGAATTTCATTGCAAACATCAGATTGATGTTCTTACAAGTGGCAATGTACAGTTAGCAGATATATTGTACAATGAAACTGCATTTTTTTACTTTATGGAATTTATGGAACTTGAAAACAAACGTGAATTATTAGACTTCTGGATGTCAGCTATGAGTTATAAACAAAATTTATTAGAAAAGAAAAATGGTATAGATCCAGAGGAGGCACAAACTGATGCTCTAATTATTTATGACAAGTACTTTTTTCAAATAATATCATTTTTATAGTTTTTTAAATAGATTAATAGTAAATAATATATTTCAATATTATTGATATTATCGTTATATATATCATAGGTATTTTAGTTTACAAGCAACGATGCCCCTTGGTTTTAGCGATAAAATTCGTTTCCAAGTTGAGCAGAATATTTGTCGCGAAGATGGAGAGGGACCACAATCCGATTGTTTTGATAAACCTTGTAAAATTGTATATAATTTTTTGAATAAGGTAAACATAACATGTTTTAAACATATTTTAATATGAGATAAAATATTAATATGAAATTGTATTGATAAGATTCAGTGGTTTTGACTTTAGATAACAAAAGATTTTTTTTAGTATTATCTACCTACTTTCTTATCATCTCAGTTATATTACAAATATTTATCAGAATTGATTAGTGCTATACAAAGCAGTCCATGTTCAAATTTACATCCTAGATTAAAAAGAGCAGGTTTGTATTGTGCAAGTAGCAATATCATAAAAATAAAATTATCATTTAAATACTTAAAAAAAATTGCAGGTTCTGATTGTAGTAGTGAAGTCAGTTCTGTTAGTATTAATATGCAAAATACCCTGCAGGCAGGGAATGATGGAAGTAGATTAAATAATAATAATAATAAAAGAAATATTACCAATAGTATGAACATTGATACTAGACAACTTTATGATCCTGATTCTTTATGGAAACGTAATAAATATAGGTAATTATAAAATGAATTAATAATTTCATTCAATGAACATTTAAAGATATATTTTATTTATTTTATAGTTTGAGCGTCGGTTATATTGATGATTTAGGAAGATTCGTTACTGAAATTGAGCCCGATCCTCAAAGAAAATATGGTGAGTTATTTAAATTTAGTTTCCTGAATATAGAATGTAAATGGCAATAATCATTCAAAACAATTTTAGAATCTCGATTAACACGTGCTGTAAAAAGATTTGTAAATATGGAACAAGATAAGGTAATTTTCATATTTATCAATAATATATATCCAATATTTAATACATAATTTTTAATTTTTTGTAAATTAAAATTATATAAATCAATATAATTAGGCCAAAGAAGAGTTAGCATGGAAGATTGCCGAGATGATCATTCGTGAGATCACTTCTTTGACTTTAGGAGCTTCAAATTTTTCATCTTGATAACATATACTATATCAATATCAATATCAATTTTTTTTTCTTTTGCGTAATATATTTTGTATTTTTAAGTGCTTTAAGATGAATATTTTGTTTAATATTGTACGATTTTTTTAATTTTTTTATAAATGAACACCGCGAATTCCATTAAAGTGCCAAATTGAACAAAAATAAAAATAATTATTAAATTTTAATAATTGTAAAAAACATAAGTTTATATTTATGAATTTTTATATATTTATTATTTGTCTTGCGTACTATATGTTAAATTGCAAAATTAATTATTATTTTCGTACTGCTACGAATGGTGTATTTTCTATATTTATAATAGGTTTTCTTTATAAATAATGTTTTAAATTTGTCAAATCAAATTTGTTTTAAATTAAGATTCAATAATTTTAGATTTTATAAAAATTATAAAAAGATTAAGACAAAGAACAAAACAAATAATGTCGATGTAAATATATAAAATTTTTCCGTTTATTTAAAGCATAATAACGAAGTATGTATATACAAACGGAAACAATAATTTTCAAGTGCTTTAACTCTTTTTAACATTTATGAGATTATAAAAGTATTTGTTTCTATTTGTAAGATACGATTGTATTTTTAAAGAACTATATTAGAATGTACAAAACATATTATTTTGCGTTTAATATAGTATATTATTTTCTTCAATTATTTAACTGCCAAGAATTTTTGCAGCAATAAATTTTATGCTTCTCTCATTTTCAATTTAAATGTAAAATTAAAAAAAGAAAAGCATTTTGCACATATCATGATGAAATGTGATTAAGATGCAATAGAAATTTTAAAAATCAACGAATGAAATCCAATTTAGATATTAGAAAAACAATGACGAATCGGATGAACAACGACGAAATTGTAGATTTTTATAAATTAAATTTCGAATTTATTTTTTATCAATTTTTTTTGTAACAATAATTATTGTGGATTTTATTAGATTTAAATTTATTATATTAGAAATATATTAGCTTACTTGGCAGTATTTATTTATAAAATTTTTAAATGATTATACAAAACATTAGTTTATTATTATAGATAACTGAAAAACTTTTATATATGATCAGTCTTATCTGATAGGATTAGTTATCTAATTAGAATTACTACTGGACATTCAAATAGTGTTATAAAAATTATTTTATTAAAATCAATCTATTTTTAAAAAAAAATATGAAAAAATGAACAATTGCTATAATAATGTAATTAAAAAAAAAAAAAAAGATTTAGATAATACGAAAAATGTACGCGATTTAAGATTAATATTCTTAAAATGTTAGTCGATTGATTAATGGTGCACGTTAGTTCCTTTCTATATAAAAAACAATAATTTTAAAAATAGCTTAATTTTTTTGCGTATATGTGTTCTAGTATTTTGGCAATATATACTCATGTAATAATTTACATTTTTAAAAAGTATAAAAATATTACATTTTTACATATATAATAGATATTCAAGTTTAATGCATTAATATAAACGAACAAATTTTCTGACTAATTATAATATATTTCATATATTTGCATAGATATTTGGTGCTATACTTAAATACAATTCGAAAAACAATCTTACTATTCTTTAATGACTATGTAAATCTCTAGAAATACGAGTATTATTTTGATCATTTGTTAATAGTGATGTATATACAATTTTTTTATTAAAACAAAAAGGATTGTTGTATAAATAAAATCTGTTAATAAAAAAAATTTTAAATATCTATTTTGAAAATTTTATACGCAATTTTATTTTCTGAGATATATTTTTTAAAAATATTTTTTGTTAATTATAATAAAGAATATAATCGATAAATTATCATGTTTTTATTGGATTAAATTATATAATTAATTCATGCAAAATTTAATAATGTTTAACAATTTTTAATTTATTTATATTAAATACAAAAAATTATAATAAAATATAAAGCTGAAATTATATTGAAAAAATAATAATACTTTATCATTATACATATTCTGCTTTATATATGTAAAAAATATAAATCTCTTAACATTTATAACAATCAACAAATTAATTTTTCATAATTTTACTATTATATTAATTTCTAGAAACTTATTTTATATATGTATATATGTATATATATAAAAAGTAATTATTTTATATAATTTTCTACATAAATAATAAGTTCTTTTATATTTTGCCGGTTAGAGACGAATATAAATATAAATGAGCGATTGAGCACATTATCTTTTTAGCTTAAAAAATTATTAAATATTAAAAATATAATTTTTTTAAAAATAATATAAGGCAGTAGATTATTTTTATTGATATAAAAGATTGTTTGTATCACAGTTCTTAAAATGAGGAAGATCCATTAATACTCGTATGAGGAGGACATCCAAATTTCGGATCTAATAAAGGCGATGATTCTGACAATATATTTGTATCTCCTTTTGAAATCTGAATTAAATTAAAATTCCCTAATTTCTGGCAGCATTCCAATCGAAATTTCTCTCTTTTACCCCATCTCTTATAAACAAGAGCATTAAAAAATGCTTGAAGTGGATTTGTAACAGCCTGAAAATAAAATGTAAATTAAATTATATTATATTATATTATTTTTAAAAAATATACATACCATTATGTACCAAAGAATAATGATGATTTTGATTGGTAATTGAAACCACAAAGTCCATAATAAAATCCCATTAATTAAATTTGGTAACCAACACACATAATATACAAAATTAGTCAATGCAAATTTAAATTTTATTGTTTGTACCAATTTTCTTTCTCTTCCTGTTATTTGCGCTAGACTGCAAGTAACTGCAGTTTGAAGATCTCGAGTTGATGCAAAATATAAAAGAGGATTAACTATCATAACCACAGCTAATAGCACATAAGTAGCACAATAATTTGGCAAAATACGTAAAATAGTAGTGGATAATGATGTTAAATTATGACAACTGAAAAAAAAAGTCTCATAATATTCTAAAGACATAATGATCTATTTATAATCAAAGTAATCAAACTAACTTTGCATCTGGTATATATAAAATTGTTAAACCAAATGTAGTCAAAATTGCTGGACATATCCAAGCAAAGATATGGTAACAAATAGGATGTCCAGATCGATCTCCCAATAATAATTTCATGTCAATGGCATAGCAAAGTGTCCAAATCCATGTTGCCATGTAAAAATATTGTGTCCATGCCTAAAAAAAACTTTTTATAATGATACAAAATATATTTATAATAATACAAAAATCATTAAAACAATCTAAATTACTAATATAATGAATTATTTAATATAATTATTTTACCGATGAAAGTGCACAAAAAACAACACTTGAAGTATCATCTTCCATTGGCATTATGGACTTAAAATTCACCCACAATGCTGATCTAATAAATACACCTAAACAATGTTTAGAATTGAAATAAAGTTATTTTTTTTTATTTTTAATCTATATTAAAAGATAGGCATAATTACCTAATGATGCTAAGAGATCTGCAATTGCAAGCCATATGATGATTTCTCTTCCTCTACATGCAGAGAAGTTTTGCCATCTATGAGGAAGATTAGATGTTTCTCTTGGCAATATCTATAAATAGAACTTCATAATATTTGATAATATTTACATTTTATTAAAATTTTACTTACCTGATATACTGCACCTAAAATACCTATAGAAGAAGAAAGCATACATATAATATTATACACATCTGTATTGAATTCTTGCATTATTACGATTGCCATATCGGTTCTGTTTGAATGATGACAACAGAATGTTTGTATTGTTGGATCAGCCATGTTATATGTATTGAAATTAAGTTCTTAAAAATTAACTAAATATATATAGTAGAGAAAAAATAATATTCGATAAAATATTATTTATTTTACAACTAATTTTATACATTGAGTTTTTAAAATAAGAATTAAACGATCCACTTTTATTTAAAAGTTTTTTTTAAAAATATCTTTAAGAATCATCAACAAAACTTTGTTCATTTTTATCTTAAGACGAAACCGTACGAGGTTTCCGGCATATTTATTTGTACGCCATATCTAACTTTGTTTTAAAGAGAATTTGATCACAGATAAGATATGGAATTTTCTTATTTTTGTATATTGCATATTTTATTTAAAATTATATTTTTAGCAAATAGAAAAACAAATTTATATATAAAAATAAAAAAAAAATATATAAAATATGTGCATGATACAAAAATAAAATTATCTTTTTTTAACTTAAAATATATCATCTCTTTGAAAAATATTAAAATTTAAAAACATATAAAAAATATATCGAATCAAATAGACTTTATCAAGATTTTTAATCAATATGCAAAGAGAAAATAAAATAAATGATATATCGAAATCACTTCTTGAGTGTATAAATCTTGCAAAGCAAATGACAAGGAAAGCACATAAGATGGAGAAAGATAAAAATAAGATAAAAATATTGAAATGAGCGCCATCTCTTGAGTATTAAAAATCTTTAATATAAAAATAAGATGGAGTAAGAATTAATTGCTAGTGCCATCTTTTGAATGTCAAAAATATTTATTTAATAATTATTTTTAAAAATACCCAAGAGATGGCTCTAGTGATCAATTCTGATTCTGTTTATCCTTTTTCAATTATTTTCTTTCCTTGCTTTATATGTTTCATTTGCGGCACTCTAAAGATGGCGCTGATTTTAATATTTTTATCCTATCTCTATCCTTTTTTAACTATTTTCTCTCTTTATCTACATTTCACGAGTATTTAGTTTGCGCATGATATGTACAAAGTGCAAGATGTCAATTAAACATATATATTCATCATTTTTCTTCCAAAATTATTATATATTTTTAAGATGACGATTAAAATTGTATATCTTAATATAAACGTTCTGAGATTATAATATATAATATGAACGTGAGGCACTTGATGATAGCGTAGCAATAGAATTTTACCAAACGAAAACTTATCTCGGTAATAAATAATAATTTTTAAATATTTATGATAAAATTTTATATTTGATTTTC